ACACCAGATCATTGGACGTTGGGCGCTTTGTCTGTGCTGAATGCAAGGGACCTCTGGTCCTGCTGCCGTTAACTCAGAAAGATGGGACCCCCATAAAGCCCCATGTGAGACCCTTTGCCAAATATGTGAAGCTGCATTACAGATTAGTCAGGGAGCAGATGGCAGGCATCACCCATGGGGATGTGATGAGAATGCTCAGCAAAGGTTACTTTATCTGTAAAGAAAAGAAAAAACTTTGAGGTTATGTGAGAGGGTATCTGTGTGAGCCGAGTCCTCTACTGTGAAGAAGATTTAGAAAAATACCTTTATTTTTATTAAGTTATGAATAATATAATTTAAATCCTTTTTATAAAGCTTTTATTGTTGATAATTGTTCTTTAACCAAAGATTATATTACTCAGCACTTTGTGCCCTTGACAGTGCTCAGAAGCCCTTTGGGCCCACCTTGTGTCTTACTTACACTCCAGAGTTGTAACTTGTAGAATCAAATGCAAAATCAAAATACATTTTTGAGAGTGGCCAGCAGAGAGAATGTGAGTAATGCTGGAAAGGAAACACATTTAAATATATATATATATATATATATATATATATATATATATATATATATATATATATTTCTGATTTTTCACAGAGAGGAAGGGAGAGGAATAGAGCGAAACATTGATGAGAGAGAAACATCGACCAGCTGCCTCCTGCACACCCCTACTGGGGATGTGCCCATAATCAATGTGCATGCCCTTGTCCAGAATCGAACCTGGAACCCTCCAGTCCGCAGACCGATGCTCTATCCACTGAGCCAGACCGGTTTCAGCAGGGAACACATTTTAAAGGCATCAAGGACTGCTGGCAGATATAACCAGTAACACCTACCTAGAAATAAAAAGCATGTTTCATGAATTTAGTTTCTCTTGCCAATTTTTCATAAAAATAAATAAAATGTTTTCTGAAATTCACTTGTTAACGAAGTCTGTTTATTGACAACCTGTGCCAAGAGCAGAACAAGCTCCCGGATACCTGAAGCTCTCCTGGATGTGCCAGGAAGATCATTCTCTGTTCTGGGTTTTTCTCTGATTCTTGTGACTGCTCACAAGTATGTCAGCAGCCTCCCCACATCTGGGAGCTATATGGGATATAGATGGAACCAATGTATTTGTTTCAGATTGCTGCTATAACAAATTACCACAAGCTTAGTGACATTGTTATCTTACCACTCTGTAGGTTGGAAGTGTGGCACAGGCCTCACTGAACTGTAATTCAGGTATCGGTGGGGCTGCATTCCCCTCTGGAGGCTCAGAGAACCATTTCTTTGTCTTTCCCCAGCTTCTGGAGGCTGTTGCAACCCCAAATTTAAGTCTTCCTCCAACTTCAAGTCTTTAAAGCTGTCTGTGTCTGCTTTTCTGATTCCCCTTTTACCTCCCTCTTTCACTTTTAAGGACCCAGGTGATGACAGTGGGCCCACCTGGATAATCCAGGAAAAGCTTATTTTAAGGTCAACTGATTAACTGCCTCAGTTCCCTTTGCCACGTAAGGTAACATATTCCAAAATTCTGGGGATTGGAATGTGGCCATCTCTGGGGACTCATTATTCAATGTCACTAAGCTTGTGGGAATTTGCCACACACATCTTCACTAGTCTGGCATCGCTGTTTCGGTTTAGAGGCTGCTTGTGCTGTCATTCCTTCATTCAGCAGGTACTTAGTGTTCTTTCAGTGGCCATGGACAGAAGCCTCGCCACCAGTCTAGATGGGATTGGTTGTGTACAAAGCATGGCATGAGCTTCCCCAGCTACATCCTTCAGTGTCTTCTCTCCATTCCTACCTCCAGCCATATCTGTGGTCTCAGTAAAGGCCCTGCTGGCCTGTAAGACTGGATCATGACACTCTGAGGATTTAGGGGGAGCTGACTGTGGTGATTCTGCCCTACAAAGGGAGGGTTCTGGCCTCTCCCTTAACTCAGTAACCCAGTCAGCCACCATTTTGGGTAGCCCTGATCGTTTCTCCCTAGCTATAGCGTGGGACAAAGCTCCTCACAGCCCACTCGTGCCTCCAGATGGCCTTTGTGCTAATGACTGTCAGCTAATCACCTGCCATTTCCCAAGGAAAAGCCTGGCTCACCTGACTAACCATGACAGCCTTCTCCACTGGTCTTTAGAATACCACCACCTGACCCCAAACTAACTTGGTCTTATTTTCAACTCTTTTCCTACATGAATCCTTAACTCTAGCCAGATGAGACCACTTATAATTCTTCCAATAAGCATTGCTGTTTTTAGCCTTCCCAGTTTTGCTTTGGCCCTCCCTTCCTGGAAATGCCCTTTTTTCTTCTTGTCCTAGGAAATACTACTTGCTCTTTAAGGTCTGCTCATTTCTGTCTTCATGAAGCCATCCCAAATGGCCATAGCCACAGTGCTTTGAGCCCCAGGTTCACCGTGTGTGCCACATGTTTGCTTTATGGCCTAGACTGCTTGGTATTGTTAATTCTCATCATATCTTCCCTGATGGCCTAAGCTTTTGGAGTTCAGGACTATGTCTTATCGGGTCTAGTAATAATTAATGTCGTTTTAAAACATTCGTTTAAAATCTTGCTTGGCGTTGACTTGTATTGACATAACCTTCAAACACGTGGTATCTACAGAACGTGTGAAGTGCAATTAACAAGTTTTGCTTGAAAAAGTTTTTTTTTTCATATTTTATTGATTTTTTTTACATATCTTATTGATTTTTTTTTACCCCCCTCCCTCCCTCCCACCCATCCCCTCCCTCCCCAGAGTTTTATGACCATTGGTTGTACTTATATGCATGTATACAAGTCCTTCGTTTGATCTATTATCTCCCCCAAATCTTCCTCCCCTCCCCACTGTAATTTGACAGTCTGCCTGTTGCTTTACTTTCTCTATCTCTGTCTCTTGGTTCATCAGTTCATAAAGAGCTTTATTGTCCACCAATGAGTGAGGTCATGTGGTATTTCTCTTTCATTGATTGGCTTATTTCACTCAGCATGATGTTCTCCAATTCCATCCAGGTTGCTGCAAATGATGAGAATTCCTTCTTTTTTATGGCAGCATAGTATTCCATTGTGTAGATGTACCAAAGTTTTTGAATTAACAAGTTTTGCTTGAAAAAGTTTTTGTTTGGTTTGGTTTTTGTTGCAAAACTAGGGCTAAGAAGATGGCGGATGAAGAGCATATTCGGCACTGCATGCTTTACGAGTTCCAATTAGGAAAAAAAGCAAGTGAGGCTGCAAAAAACATCTGTAGTGCTCTTGGTCAAGATGCAGTTAGTGCCAGAAAATGCCAGCGTTGGTTTGAGAAATTTCGCGAAGGAAATTTTTCGTTAGATGACAAGAGTGGTCGAGGCCGTGTGTCCAATTTTGATCAAGAAGCTCTTCAAGCTCTTTTGGAGCAAAATCCTCAAATTACCCAACAAGAGCTTGCGACAACTTTAAATTGTTCACAAAAAACAATTTCCAATCAATTGCGTGCACTTGGCAAAGTCCAAAAGTTTGGAAAATGGGTTCCTCATGAGTTGACCGACAACAACCATAATCAAAGAGTCACAATTTGCAGTTCGCTCCTCTCTCGTCAAAACCGTTTGCCGTTTTTAGAGCAAATTGTTACCGGAGATGAAAAATGGGTGCTGTATGTTAATTTGAAAAGGCGGCCTCAATGGTTGGACAAAAATGAGGCTCCGCAGCCCACGCCAAAACCTGACTTGCATGCGAAAAAAGTGATGTTGTGTGTTTGGTGGAATTTTAAAGGAATTCTTCATTATGAACTTTTACCATCTAACCAAACCATTACAAGTGCCCAATTGGAAAGGTTAGCCCAAGCTTTAAGAGAAAAAGAACCCGCGCTGATTAATCGGAAGGGCGTAATTCTTCACCACGATAACGCACGACCGCATACTGCAAGAATCACTGCTGAAAAACTGCGCCAGTTGGAATGGGAAGTTCTCCCTCAACCTGCATATTCTCCTGATATTGCCCCTTCCGATTACCATTTGTTTCGTTCTTTGCAAAACTTTCTTCTTGGAAAAAAATTTAATAATGAAGAATGCCTCAAAAATGCATTGACCGAATTTTTTGCATCAAAATCACAAGAATTTTACAACAGAGGGATTAAAATGCTTCCTGAGTGTTGGGCACAAGTAGTAGAAAACAACGGCAACTATATTGTTGATTAAATTTTGTTGTATTGTTTAAATAAATTCGATTAAAAAAAAAGTATTAGAAAACGACATTGATTATTACTAGACCTAATATTTATGTCTGAAGGCCCTTTCCCTAAAGTATACCTATACAGTGTCCAGCCAGCCAGTTGGCTGCTTATCCTGCACCCATGTACCTAGGTGCTTCCCTGAAAGTGACAGGAGTGCCCAGGAGGGCGGAGAAGAAGCCAGACATAAACATGAACAGGCAGCATTGGTTGGCCCAGTCCCAGGGATAGGGAAGAAGAAGCAGGAAGTGCATCCCAGAGCCGGGACAGGGCTGGCTGGAATGAGGCACTACTACCACACTTTGATCCTCATTATATTGTTTATTGAAAAGTTTTAAGCAGAATTTTAGACATAAAATGAGCAAATAGATAGGTGTTGGGGACAATAGCTAGTCACCGCTGGGCTGGAGGCCTGGGCTAAGACCCCATAGGGACAGCTTCCACCATGCTTGCTTGCTTCATGCTCTTTGCACATGGGGAAGGCCAAAGTCTAGTTACTGAATTAAGAGGGTGGTGGGGTTTCATGCAGCCAAAGAAAGAAGGGCCTGAAGGCAGCCAACTCTGAATCGGCAGGATAAGGCTTGGTAACTAAGGAGCAGCAATGGCGAAGTCGCAAGAGTCAGGAGGGTGGCTCCCTGGGTGACCTGGTGGTGCTGGGGCTCCCAGGAAATCCCAAGAGTGTGCACCTGAGGAGCCAAGACCAGGGGAGAGGGAGGGAGAAAGGAATCTGAAATGTGGGAGGGAATCAGGCTGCATGGCAAAGGGGTCACCCTCAAGCCCAGCCTCACAAGCCCGAGTAGGAGGCCTCTGTGGTCTCAGACCAGGATGAATCCCGGCGGGAAGATGGCAGCTGCCGCTGGTGCCCACTCTGGCCAGGGCAGCCCAGGCGCAGAAGTAGCGTCCACATCCGCTCTCGGAACTTGACACCCACGAAGGCATAGAGCAACGGGTTGAGGCAGCAGTGCATATAGCCCAGACCTGAGGTGACAGACTTGGCCACATCCACACGGCTTTCTCGGGCACAGTCGCGGGCCAAAGCCCCCATGTCCATGAGGGTGTCTACCATCACCACCAAGTGGTAGGGGGTCCAGCAGAGGGCAAAGGCCACCACTACCACTACCACCAGCCGCATGGCTCGCAGTCGCCTCTGGCCCCTGGAGACCAGCAGCACAGCTAGGATGCGGGCATAACAATAGGCCATGACCATCAGTGGCAGCAGGAAGCCAGCCACTAGTTGCAGTAGGCGCAGTGCCGTGCGGCCCCCCTGTTGGAAGTTGTACTGGCAGTGGGTGGCATTGAGGCGTGCGTCACGGTAGGCCGACAGGAAAATGAAGTCAGGGATGACAAAGAGTAGACATTGCCCCCAGATAATTACACAAGTGAAGGTCACACGAGCTGGGGGCCCCCGGCGGTAGAGCTGAGTAGCATGCACTATGCTCAGGTACCGGTCAAAGCTGATGCAGGCCAGCAGGAGAGCCCCTGCATAGAAGTTGATGTTGAAGAGGGCACCTGCCACTTTGCAGAGCCCAGAGCCAAAAACCCACTGGATCGCAGCGTCCACTGCCCAGAGTGGGAGGGTTAGCACCAGCAGGGCGTCAGCCACGGCCAGGTGAAGCAGGAAGGTGTCGGTGCTACTTAGGGCTGCTCGTTGGCTCAGCAGCACAGCCACCACAGCGCCATTGCCCAGCAGCCCCAGCACAAAGAGGAGGCCATAGAGGGCTGGCAGGAAGGCCCGGTCAAAGTTCAGGCTGACGTCTTGTGGGCAGGGTGGGGAATTACAGCAGATGTCACTCTCGTTTTCTCCTCCATAGTCAAAGGAAGAGCTATAGTTTGCCAGGAAATAGTCAGGGTCAGTGATCTGTGGAGGGAGGGAGAAGAAGAAGGAACAGACTATGTAAACCGACTCCTTCAGAGAAGTAGCCTTTCTGGGAGCCTCCCTGGGGTAAGGCAGGTCTTGAGGCATGGGCCACACCCTGTAATTGTCCCCACATTTCTTCCAAGGCCACACCTCCTGAACTGCACCTGCCCAGCCTTGGTGCTGGTATGTAATTTTCCTTCTCAAAGGCTGATTCTAACGCACCCTTTGGGGCCGTCCCTTCAGCCCAGGGATTATGGGCTGGAGGAAATTTGCCCTGTGCCAAGAGCCTTCCCTGCCCCTCTCCATTTTCACATTTCTCTTCCTTCAAGGCTTGCTGTTCTCTGTGTCCTGGCCACACCTAATTCTACCACCTTCCTCCCCAGGCAGCACCTCACCATCCCCTCTCTCAGTTACTGGCTCTCCTCTTCTTATCTGGGACTCCTACTTCCTGCTCCCCATGGGAGTGCCTCTACAAATCACTGTGCCCCCAATGCATGCTTTATGCCATTCTTTTCCTCCCTTACACCAAAGACTGCCACCAATGGGGGCTCCTCTACCAAGCTTTAGCAGAAATAGTTCTTCCAGCCTTCTCCCATGAACCACCCCAGAGCTGCAGGCCTCCCCAGTGCCAATTCAGTCCAGCACAGAGGAGCCAAAGTTCCAATTCAGAGCTGAAGGGAGCCTTGCAAGCTCTTGACGGTGAGCTACCACCTCCTGCATTTTGCAGATGAGGCACCAGCCAGAGAAGGGAAGTGACTCGCCAGTGGTCATTCACACTAATCAAGGGTCAAGGTGGGTTCTCAATTCCCCACCCAGTGACCCTTCTACACAACCCCTGCATTCTCTACCTACTCACCCAACCCTCTGGTGGTGCTGGCTCATGGGCCAGCCCTGCCGGTCCCCTAGTGTCCTGGGTTCTCCACTCAAAGAGTAGTCTGGTCTGGCTAGACAACAGCACTTACCTCAGTGACCATGGCTGGGTTGGTGCTCCGGCTGCCTGGCGCGTGCTGTCTGCCCCTCTGCTTTGGTGCTTGTGGTTGCGAACTTGCACTATACAGAGGAAGTAAGGGTTTCATGTGGTTCTTGACAGCTGCCTATACCAGACGTTCCTAGACCCAATGCCATTCCCCGACCAGGGAGGCTGCTCTGAAGTATCTGACACAAGCCTGGGGCCAGAATGGCTGAGTCCTAGAGAAGGGTAGAGGCCGAAAGGGGAGATGCCTGAAGGAGAAGCAGGGAAGGTGGGGAGTGAAGCCCTGCCTGGTGCCAGGGAAAGAACTGCTTCTCTTGCTCCGGTATGTCGACACTCAAATAAATGAGAACGTGTGCTCATCTGTCCTGGTCGGGAGTCAATTTTTGCCTGATTATAGACTGATTCGCTAAACATGTTATGTCTATAAAAGGAGATTAAACCTCTTTTAAAAATAAAAATATTTTAAAGAAATTGACTACACTGCTAGTAAATCTAATCCTTTACTATTGCCCCTATGTGCTAATCAATGGGGGGGGGGGGGGGCTCGGGGGTGGGCAAGGAAAAGGAATTGCTATGTGCCAGAAGTTGTTTTAGGTGCTTTCTCTGTCACCACCTTATTCCAACCACACAACTCCCTCATCAAGTGGGGGTTATCCTTATGACTAACCTAGAAAGGAGAAAGGTCTTCAGCAGACACAGCAAGTAAGGGTGGGTGCTAAGGATAGACCCATGGCTGTTTGACTCTCCTTTTGCCACATATCACACCGCCTTCAGTTTTTATAAAGAAACTATGACATATAATGCTGTTAAAACCAAGTGAACTAGAGTTCTATATCTTAATGTGGGTGCATCTGGAAAAGCCATTGATCACATGATGGAAGAGGCAAGTTACAAAAAATGTATAGTTTGTCACCACTTACGTAAATTCTGAAAACCACACACACACACACACACACACACACACACACACACACAAAAACACCAAAAAAAAAAAAAAAAACACCAAAAAACAAAAACACTGTATCACTCTGGAAACAGATGTTTGTTCTAGAGTTTGGAGGGACTGGAGATGTCACAAATTCGTGAGAGCAGTTGCTCCTGGGGCAAGCAGAAGGAGAATAGAGTTGTGGAAGAGTACCTGGGATCTGATTTTAAAGAACATCTATAAACAGCGTTTGCGGAGTCAATCAGTCCTTTTTGGCTGTCCACTGTGGGGGAGTTCCACTCCCACCCTGCCCTCAGCTCTCTCCTGTCCTCTGCTCCCCTCCCTGTCACTTTGTTCTCATTAGCAGCTGGCAAAGGTGGCCATTAACTTGCCTTTCCCAAGCATTTCCTCTTTTCCTCTCAGCCCAGATGAAAAGGACACAGGCAATGCTAGCCCATGGTCTTGGGGTCCAATTTTCAGCCAGAGCACTTCACAAGAGCCTCCCTCCTAGGGCCTGAGATTCAGTTCACACTGATTGACAAGATGCACACTTGATAAGCCCCAAGGCCCTTCCCTCCTCCTGTGGACAGAAAATGTGACTATCCCTGCTCCAAGCAGCTTGTCACCTGGAAGCTCCAGGCCAGAAGGAACTGAGAGCCAGGAGGAGGTCAGGAGCAGTGTAAGTAGAGGGGACTGGGAGGGTTACAGAAGACATGGAAGTAGGATGAACTTCGTAAGGAACTGCCTGCCAGGTGAGGAAGAGAAGTGGGGGCCAGAACCAGTTTCGTGATGCTGGTGCAGGAAGAATTTCCATTCAGTGGGCTTCTACACATGAGAGAAATGAGGACAATGAAAAGGGACAACAAAAACGCTGTTTATAGATTTTCTTTAATGCCAGGAAATCCCCAGGTACTCTTTCCCCAGCTCTATTCCACTTCTGCTTGCCCCAGGAGCAACTGCTCTCATGCATTTGTGGCATCTCCAGTCCTCTTTATTTGTTCAACTTAATGGAAGGTCTTCTATTCTGCAAGTTTGTCCTTAATCACCTTTGTGGTATTAAAATGATTTTTTTTCCTTTATGAGATGATGGTAGAAATAGCTGATGGTTTTGGAAGTATCTCCTGTTGTCAGAAGTTGACACCCCACTGTGGGTCCTCTAAATATATGTTGGAATGTTACTGGTCCATGGGGAATTTCAAAGTCTAGGGACCCTGGTGTCCTTCCTGTGCCCCAGTCTCCTAATCTGTCACATGGGGACGATGTTCCTCACCTTCTTCGACTGCTGGGATGAAGAAATGACAGCACAAGCATGTTAGATAAGAGCTTTGCAAAAGTGCAGCTAGCTTTCCTTTCTGAGTTTCAGGGCCGCATCCTGATAGGCCAGCCTGGGGGCAGGCTGCTCTTCCTGCTCCCTGTGTGGTCGAGAACATTGAACTTGTCTGGCTCCAGCCCTAAATCCACCCTGTTCAAACTGTATGACCTTGGACAAATGACGTAACTATTTTGAGCTGGTCTCAGCAGGGTTGTTACAAGATAAACTGAGATAACCAAGGCTGTAAGGCCCTGGGAATAGGGCCCCGCACTTTGTAGGCAGATAGTTGAGAATGCTGAGTGGGAGGCAGTGGCTACAGACCTAGAGTTGCTGGGAGTCTTCATGTTGGGGGAGCGCTCGGAGACAGTGTGCTACCTCATGGAGTGGGCAGGCAGGTGTTTGCCAAAGAGTTGCTCCTCCAGAAAGGCTGCTACTCCGCTAAGGTGGGAATGTTTGGCCAGCCCTAAACTAATGCTCTGGCTTCCCCGCTGTGTAATTTCAGGTAAGTCATTTCACCTCTCTGCCTCAGTTTCCTCAATCTGAAAAAAAGGGATAAAGATAGTACATGTGTGATTGGCTTGCTCTGTGGACTGCAAGTGCTACTGTGGAATGCGTCTGACACAGGGAAGGTCCCAGTGAGCAGCAGTTTCATGCCTTCCCAGGCCTCAAAACAGCAAGTGTGTGCTGGGCTTCTGTGGTCTTTCACGCCCAGGTGCCTTGGAAGGTGCCTGTGTCATGGTACTGAGCCAAGCCCTTGTTTGGCCCTCTAATTTGGTCCTTTCCTGTCCCAAGTAGCCTCCAGACCAGGTCAAAGGAAGGGCCAGTCCTTGGGGAGACACACTAGCGGGGAACCTTTGCTCTGAGTTCTGCTCTCCCAAGTGGCAAGTGGGGAAGCTTGAGGAGGAAGTTAGTCAGAGTGAAGCTGCTCTGGGCCCCACCTGTGGTCAAGGTGTGAAATGTGCACCTGTCTCTTCTCTGCCACCCCTCCCCCTGTTTTTTTTTCTTTCTTTCACACCTTTGGGCTGTGGTTTGGGGAGATGGGAGATTTGGAGGTCTGAGCTCTGGGCCCAGTCCCTCACAGGAAGGAGGGCCTCCACAGCTGTCTGTCAGAGCAGCCAGGGAAGGGGGCCATTTCCTCCTCCTCCCTCTCAGTGTCTGCTGCCTCACAGCCCTTCAGAATGTCTCTCAGAGCCCGCTCTAAAACCCCTGGGACTCAGCCACCAGCTCCAGGCTGTCCGAGGAGCAGGCTCAGTGAAGCCCAAGCTTCCGTGGGCTCAGGCAGTGACCCCAGCTGAGGCAGAACCTTTCTTTCATGAAATCAACAAGAGTCCTAGCCCCCAGAAGGAGAAGGGGTCTGCCCCACACTATGCTGGGACTCCAGGCCTCCTTCTACCTGTCCTGAATTTCCCAAGGGAAGGAGAAGGAAGGCCCAGGAGCTGGGGACCCCTCCCTCCTCTGCCCCTCCTTTTGCAGCTCTGAGCCCTACTGGGAGACAAGCCCTTTCTAAGTGCTGGGACCATGGGGTGGGCCTAGCTAGTCCAGACCTGTGAGGGTGAGTTCTCAAGCTATGGGGTACTTAATCTTTTGGGACCAGGGAAGGTGGATGTTGCTGCCATATGTCAGCTGGCAAAGGGAAACAAGGTAATTCAGGCTGTGGGACCAGCAGATGTCAAGGCAAGGAAGTATGGAGTAGCTTGTCAGCCCAGGGGCAGCCAAGACTGGAAAAGAAGGTACATGTGAGAGCAGGAGGGGGGTTGGAGAGTAGTTCAGGACCCCAAGCACGATAACCTTCCTGTCATTCTGTCCCCAGAAGGGCTGAGAAACTGCTAAATGAAAAATAGCTTTCATCCAGCAAGCCCTAACTTTTAAACTCTTCAGCCACCTGGGGAGGCAGAGAGTACTGTATACATTTTGCAGATTGGAGATAGAAGTTCAGAGTGCTGAAGTGACTTGTCCCAGGCTAGTCAGCCAGTAGGATTTCTGCCAAGATTCCTATCCAGGTTGCTTTCTAATGTGCTATACTCACTGCTAGGGTGGGAGATCCCTGGCTCACCCGCTCACAAAAACACCGTGGCCCAAGGACTGGTTCTTTCAGGAGCCACGTGTGACTCACCACAGGGCTCAACCGGGCATCTTATGTAAGGCTAGGTGCTCACCCAGCATTAATGCCACAGCTGGAGCTTTGGTAAACCTCACCACATCCCCATTTTTCTCGTCTTGCTCTTTCCCTCTCATGGATGTTTCTAACTATCTTTCTCCCTTACTCGCTGTAAAAAATCAATAAAACATATCTTAAAAAATCTGTCAGGTGCCAAAGCCCTTTTGCAATGCCCCCAGGAGAGTCTGTAAATGCACCCAGCCATCTCCAGCCCAGCGCAGGCTGTCTCGTGAAGGCCTGACTGGGGAGCTGTTCCACTTCTATTCCCAGTTTACCTTGTACCTAGGACTCCATCTCAGCTCAGGCCTGTCCAGACTCTCCAGAGGTGGAGGTGGCAACATTGCCAGTGCATGAAAATCTGATTATGGAAGCCTGACCTTGATGGATTCCCAGTTGCTCCCTCAGTGAACAGGTGGAAGCTGTCCCCCTGCACTGCTCAGCTGGGCCTCCCCTTGAAATGAAGTCATCATCAGGCCCAACGTTCACTTCTTGTTTTCCCTTGAGTTGCCCCACAGACTGAAGTCAAAGAGGATAATAACAGCTGACGTTGATTACTTAACTGTGTGCTGGGCATTACTCTAAGAGCTTTATTGAGATGAATTAATT